GAGAGAGAGAGAGAGAGAGAGAGAGAGAGAGAGAGAGAGAGAGAGAGAGAGAGAGAGAGAGAGAGAGAGAGATGACAAGCCATGACGAAAGGAATCGCCACATGGGCATGTTCCACTCTGGCGTGAACTCTGATGACTGGACCCCCAAACTGGCAAGCTGTATCACCTACCTCGAACTTAGCCATCCTTCTCTACTGAGTCTCTGATTGAATCATAGCCCTCTGTGCTTTCTGTAGTTGCTCTACATTTTTCTGTTCCATCATCTTTTTGTAGTCTGGGCCCTGGGGCACATTTGACAGTTCCAGGGGCCAACTGTGGTTTGGGTCCAGGAAACGGGTCCAGGAAACGGGTCCAGGAACTCCAATGCGGTTACTGGGTTTCCAGCCCAGGTGCGGTTGATTAGGTGGTGGATGGTCGTCCGGCAGCTGTGTAAGTCCGGCAGCTGTGTAAGGCATGGTCTGCATCACTGTACAGCCCAGCTATCTGTGGCAGTTTGACATCCCAGTCTTTTTTTTGGTTTTTGGGTTTTGGTTTTTGGTTTTTGGTTTTTTGGATACTGGTTGTGTCTGGACCATGAACAGACTTTTAACTGCGAAATCCAAGTACTGTTCCTTCTTCTTCTCCTGCCGTTTTTGGGGGGGATAATCTGCGAAATATCCACATAAGTTGGCGCATATGCCAAAATGCCCCAAAAAGATGACGGTAGAGCGGAATGCCCTTTTGGGGCGAATTCCTTGTGTTATGGCCTTGTCAGGCGGGTGCGCAAATTTTTCAATCTGATGCAACCTGAACCGCTGGGCATTTTGGGCATTTGGGGCATTTTGCAATGGGGCATTCTAAAAGTTGGCAAGTAGGGGGGCATTTTGCAAAGTTGGACGGTACCCAGTAGGGGTTTATTGCCAAGATCTGGAGTCCAACTGACACCAGGACTATTTCCTTTTCTTCTTCTTTTTTCTTTTCTTTTCTTTTTGTAAATTTTCGAAATGCCCCTCCCGACTTCCATTTATTTGCGGTATGCCCCTCCAACTGACACCAGGACTTTCTTTTTCTTCTTCTTCTTCTTCTTTTCTTTTTCTTTTTGGAAATTTTTGAAATCCCTCTCCAACGGTCCACGTCCCCTGCCGTGCCTTGGGGCCTCTGAAGTTTCCTGCATGCCCCTGTCGGTGAGGGTTGCAACTTTCCAGCATGCCCCTGTGGCCGTTGGTGGCACTCCAGGCCGTTCCCCTGGCCCTAGGAGGGGAGCTACAGGCCCTGGAAATTTTGGACTGGTACTGGTAGGGGCATATTGAACATATTTCAGGCCCAAACCGCGCCAGGGATCTTTTGGAAACTTCAATCATTTCAGAGGGGCAGGACAGGGTAAATGGGCCATCGGAGGGGCATACCGCAAATAAATGGAAGTCGGAAGGGCATTTCAAAAACTTTCCTTCTGTTTTTTTATTAGTAAAATTTGCGTTATGCCCCTCCAAGATACGATTTCACATTCAAACACGCCTGGGGCCTGGTTATTGTGCAAAGTTGTCCAGCGTGGGGAGGGCAAACAGGGTAAAACAGGCTGCAGGCCCAGGCCCCAATGGAGTGGTGCAGATTGCAAATTCGTGCCCAGGCCTGACAGGGGCATATCAGAAAGAATTGAGGACAAAGGGCATTCCACTCTACCCACATCTTTTAGGGGCAATTTGGCATTTATCTCAACTTTGAGAGGTATAACGCAAAGGTTCCTTTTTGCTTTTTTTTGGGAGCCCTCAAGGCCCCTTCTATTCTGGTGGGCACCACTCCCGTTGTTGCTTATTGCCGGCATTTTCACAAAAAAACTTTTCTTTTTTCCTTTTTTCCTTTTTTTTTTGTTGAAGGGGCATTCCCCTCTATTCCTGTCTTTTAGGGGCATTTTGGCATACATCTAAACTTGTGGGGGTATTTCGCAAATTATCCCCCTTTTTTTTCCCTTTTTTTCCCCCTCGAACTTTTCTGAGCAGCAGCACCCCCTTTTACAGCCAAGCGCGCTTCCTTGGGAGAAGGACATTCCACTCCTGGTGCGAATTGTTTTGGCAACGGCCCGGTGATATTCACTCACACACATCTGCTGCTCCGCATCACGCCTTGGCCCCTGATGAGTGTCCCGTGCTCTTCCTGTCCTGGCAGAAACGTGTGTAGGGCAACTACCTACGCACGTTTCTCCTGAGCTCAGTGCACGCGGATACATAATGATTTTTTGTCGAAGTGTGTATGAAAGACAGTCTATCACCGCGCGTTTTATCACACTTCTTCTCCTCCCCCTCCTCCTCCTCCTCCCCCCCTCCTCCCCCTCCTCCTCCTTATCTTCAGAGCAATGCTCGGTCATACTGTAAGGCCGCATTGTGGAAAGCCCCCTCATGAGGACCAGGGGCACATCTGGTCGAAAAGCGTAGGATACTGTGCATGTTACGGAGGCTTGTTCATGCGTGGAGTTTGAAGAACTGCTTGATTAGAGTGTATGAAGGGCACCTATGAACACTTCTTGCAACGATTCTTCTTCTTCTTCTTCTTCTTCTTCTTCCTTTTCTTCTTCCTTTTCTTCTTCGTCTTCTTGTGTGTAAATAAGAAAACAAACAACACTCTTTCAGCTCGGGAGAGAGAGAGAGAGAGAGAGAGAGAGAGAGAGAGAGAGAGAGAGAGAGAGAGAGAGAGAGAGAGAGACCCATGTGCATGTCTCGGGTAACTACCACGGGCAGGTGAAGTCATGACTATTATACTCGCACGCCCTTCTCCCACCGGCGGGAGGGAGAACGATGAGCACTGCTGCTGATCAGAGACAAATTTGCTTGTATACAATGTATATTGGCAGAGCGTTGATTGCTTCCACTGGGTACTGAATAACCCCACCGACCATCTCATCTCATTCCAAAGCCTCTCTCCGAGGACCAAGGGAGGGAGGGCCAACTGGACCTCTCGACCTCCCTCACCCTGCGAAAAATTATATTACTCCCCCCCTTAGCACACACCCTCGGCAAACCCACGGACCGCACCCCAGACCTACAAACCCTCAGATAAGACCCTCCTGACCAGCATTTAGATAGCAGCCCCTGAAGCCCTGCACACATGAGACGTGGCCACCAAAGCAAAACCCCAAGACAGGTGAGAGGTATTATACCCCCAGGTAATCGGTCCTGGCGATGGTATCACAGTTGACATCTCCGTTCCTCATCAAACACACGTTGCTTCTCTCTCTCTCTCTCTCTCTCTCTCTCTCTCTCTCTCTCTCTCTCTCTCTCTTTTTCTCTCTCTGCCCCTGGGTGAGCGCGC